TCGGCGAATGTTGAACCTGAGCGTTCGACGCAATTTTTTTTAGTCAGTTGTGCATGGTTCGTATGACGGAGTTCATGATTCATTGTCCGCGGTTCGTGGTTCAAGATTTGCGACTCGTGGATCTTGCTTCGTAATTTGTGATCAGTGATTCGGGGCTCTTGGCCGCCGCTCGTGGGCTGAAGTTCGTGGGCACGATTCGCGATTCGTGATGGATGTTCTGCGTTCTTCCTTGGATAGGCCGTGTGGGCTCTACGGCGAAGCTGAGGGGGTCACGGGGATCATGGGGTACATTGGGGGCTTAAGGCTTTTGGCGCATTCGAATTTCAGGTGATCAATTTGTTTTGAACGTGACCCGTTTTGTGTATGTGTGATGCTTGTGTGGCCGCAGCCGCCGGAAGGAAGACGTCCAGTGCATCTGCGTATTTCCGGGCATCCCACTGCAGTTTGCGACTTGAGTGTTTCTCGTTATTTCTTCGGAAGGGACTTTGTTTGGACATGGGGCTCGTTTTTGAGAGGTAGGGCGTCTTGGACATATCCTTAGGAGGCCAGGGTGGATGACCTGGAGCCGTCTTGGAGCTCCTCCACCCTCGCCTGCCACCTTTCCGTCCGCGATGTTGAATTTAGGGCTCGCGCGCTGAGGTCGTGAAGAACGCCTTCGACGCCGCATCTCAGGCCTCAGGACGAAGGGGCTGGCGCGAAGATGAAGAAGAACGACCGCAAGCGCCAGGAGCCGAGCCGCGCTGCCTCGCCCCAGCTAGCGGCGTAATTTCCAACCAGGGCGCTCTAGGAGGGGGCTCGCCTTCGATGCATCCGGAGGGTCGACGTCTCTGCCTCGGCGGTATGCCGACGGGAGTAAAACGAGGGCGGCTCCTCCAGCGGAAAGTCGGCGACCGCCATCGGAAGGGAATTGTTACCCCCAGAGGTTGCCAATTGCTTTTCAACACAAGGTGAGCCTTACCCATTCGCGTGTAGTGCAAGGGTGGCATGTCATGTGATCCACATTGTTTTTTGCACGTTTTTTTTATTATGTGTGTGTGTGTTCAGTTTGTATTGTCTTGTCCGTCGCCATACGCCACACGTCACTGATATTCATGGAGTGTTCGAGGTCTTGGAAATCAATCTGTTTTCACATGAGTGTTTCCTCTTCTGTGGAGCAAGCCGGGTCCATACGACTTCTTGAAACTCGTTGGATCCAGCAGAGGACGCACAATGTGTTGTATCAATTTGTGTGGAGTTCTTGATGAGACCGTGTAGTCTCGTATGTGATGCGGGCAGCCGGTTGGAGTAACACATCAATTGGGGAGACAGCGAGAAATCGACCAGACAACGTATCGAGTGAGCGATGCAGCGAATCGAAACACATCTCAGCTAGAGCGTGCTGCCACGCGGGACTCTCCTGACTCGCGGGCGAGTGCAAGTAATCCATAGCACAGCAAAAAAGATAATACCCAGCAGGGCGGGGGTGTGCCCTCTTACTTTCGCAGAGGTCCAGGCCTTGCCCGCGCCGAGTCCGCGACGGCGGGGTTTGCGCGAGTTGAGGTGCAGACAGACCGAGGCATTCACTTTTGAGCGCGCGCGATCCAGCAAGCCCAGCTGGGCCCGCCCTTGCCATGTCCATCACTCAGGGGCAACAAACGGTTGTGGGGGATAGGCCCAGGTGGGATACGTCGATCCCCGATCGCCCCCTCATCGCCGACAAGGGGCCATCTGATAGCCCGCCTCACCCAGGAATGTGCTGCTCCACCATCGACGATGTATCGCCGATTCCAGGTCGATGTTTCCCCCCCTGGGGCGCCCCCCCCTATCGTAGTTGAATCGTGTGGGGCGCATCCCCCAGCTGAAGGTATATACACATGTCCTACGTGCCCGCGTCGGCCACACTTTCTTGAGCACCCACTGCACGATCATTTCGAGAAGCACTTCGAGAATTTAGGGCCTGTGGGGTTGACTTGGACGTCAATGTGGACTGATCCTTGCATAGCCGCCGCCGCGTGGCCATGCTTTAATCTTCGTTTTTGTTAGAGGTGCTGTTCGCTTTGCGCACTGCAGACCGCATCCGACATCCCAGATATCGGCCTTTCTCGGGTTCCTTGATCTCCTCCTGTTCCTTTTTTTTCTCCTCCTTCTGCCCCCCCTTACGGCAAGGGGTTATTGTCAGGGCTGTTTGAATTCGTCAATCGTTCCAGCAGCTCGTTGTTTCTTCAATGCCGTCCCCATTCCAGGCATCCCCGTCCCCCTCCTGCACCCCAGGCCCCCCCCCTTCCTGGTTCCCCGCCTCTTCCTGCCAACGGATGCAACTCCGCGAAAGCACTGGCAATATTTTCGACCAAGAACCCCATCAAGTTTCTTCCTGTACCCCCTTCCCCGCGAGATCGAAGGTGCCCCGAAACTTGTTGTCTTAGTGCTCGGCTTAGCTGCCCGGACATCCGCGGTAGGTTCAAATGTCGGCGCCCGTTGTGGATTGTTGTGTCCTTCCCGCGAGGCAGGCAGCATTGAAGCGTGCCCTTGTTTTCGGGGTCCTGTGTAGTATGTCGACTGTATTACGATTTGCTGGTTTCATGGCAGTGCGCAAAAGTTGCCGCCATTTCTGAAGCCAGGTCGGGCGCAGGCTCCATCACATATACCCCGATTGTTTGTTTGCAGCAGAGGTCAGTGAAGGCATGCATGGCGTAGCACAGGCTGTGACGGTGAGCTTGGACGCTCCCCAACAGGCATTGCTCGAGATGTTTGACGAGCTGGATAAGGACGACAGCTGCATGCTGATCAAGCAGGAGTCGAGCGACATTCAACCCCACATGATTTGCAGGACACGCATGTGGACAAGGAAATTAATCACGAAGGGATCTGTTGCACGGCAGCGCGCTTGTAATGATGAGTTCCGAAAGTAGCCGCAAGCGAGTGGAGGAGCATACCCTCGAGTGGCTGTGCTGTGGATGATGCGTCTTGTTGTTCCTTCCCTTTTCATTTGGAACCATGAGCGCCTGTGCCGATGAGTTTTCTTGACGCTCGCACACTACGGAAAGGTAGCACTCGTTGGCGAGATGGGCCTTCCTCCCCATTTCCGACGACTCAGCTATATGATTTTTGGGCTTACGCCGCACCGCCGACCCCTCGGGGGGCTCCTGGTCGGTCTCTCGGGTGCTTCCTGGCAGCACTTTTGAAGCCTTTGGGGGGCCGTTTTGGGGCCTCTTGGGGTCTCTTTTGGGCCTCTGGTGGGCCTCTTGGGGTTTTCTTGGGGGCCTCTTGGGGCCTCCTGGAGGCTTCTTGGGGCCGAGGGATCGAAATTTTCGCTCGGGTCCCCCGCCTGGGCCCCCTCCCCGGGAGCCGTCTTGGGAGCCTCTTGGGCCGTCTTGGGGCCCTCGTGGGCCGTCTTAGCCTTTTTGGGGGCTTCCTGGGCCGTCTTGGGGCGATCTTGGAGGCCTCTTGGGCCGTCTTAGACGTTGTGAAAGCCAAAGTGGCGAATGCACTAAAACTCTAAAGCGAGCTGGGGGACGTAAGGAGTGGAAGCGAGCGTGCGCCCGCGGCCGCCTTGGCTCAAAGCGGCCGGCCGCCCAGATTTGACTGTGCCTCACCGCGAGGCACACAATCGCTATCGAGACCAAAGGGGTATCCCCTCTTGCTTGAGATGGCATATCCTCTTGCATTGGGACTATCGTTACTACGATACAACAGAGCAGGATATTGACTTCGCCTGAGGCGAAGCTGTTGGCTGGGCCTTCCAGCCCCTTTTTTAAACTTGGTAGCGGAGCTGGCCTATGGTGGTCAGCTCTTGCTCTACTCCTCACCATCCACGGCACTATCTGGTGGACTGCAGATACGGTGGAACATCAGATTGCAGTGGCACTGCGCGGAGGAATGTACGTAGCTACGAAGTACCCCGAAGAAACTTGCAGTGGCACCTCTGCTCCAGCGGAGGTCTCTTGCTCATATCCTACACCCCTGCGCTGTAGCACTCCTGGAATCCACCCACCTACTCCAATTGGGAATTTCTTCGAAGACATAATGCATGGAAACATGCGGTACGATATACTGCCGCCTCCGACCTCGCGCAGATTTACGACAAAACACAAGTCTCCACCGACGACACCCGACTACGACCTACGAGGCCATTGGATTGGGGTTATTATCTTTGGGCTCATATGGGTCGCTCTTGGATGCGCGGTGGGACATATGCGGGGCGGAGACGACACTAGAACGACTGGCCCCCATGGGGTCCTGCAGGTCAAGTACCATTTCGCGAGTTTGTCCGCTTGGTACACGCCTGGATCAATGTGGCCATAGGCAACATGAGGCCCTCCCAGCAGGCCGCCGCACTTCAGCGCGGTCTTGGAGGGCTCGCGCGGACCATAGCCATGAGAGTTCCCCCAGCAGTCATCCATTTTGGTGTCAATACAGGTGGTCGCCACACCGACGGCGTCACCTACATTATGTTCCTCTTAAGTACGAAGTCCGAGAACCTAGGAGAGGAAAGCCAACTCAACTCTGGCACGGCTCTCATTGAGTTTCGAGTCCGTGCGGGAGGACGAATCGACCAGACGTTAGCTCGGTTCGAGATAGCCCGCTACGAAGCCGAAGCCGCCGGCTTCAACATCCCCAACTTCCAGATATGAGCAGCAGTATGATTCAGAGCTCTGGGAGTGGGGACGTCGCGGGCACAGCAACTCCTGCAGCCTCTGAACCACCACATGCCGAGGGACCAAGCACAATTTGATGTTCTCCTCGAACGTATGGGGTCATATGCTCACATCGCTGAGGGGACCCCTGGCAATAATGGTGGTATTTTGAGTCGCGGTCACCGAGCCGAGACCTTCCACGCAGAGGCCAACGCAGGGCAACCTGCTAACGACGTCTGGAACGATGATATACCGCCAACTGAGACCACTGCACTGTTGGCTCAGAATGGCGGAACGGCCTCGGGGTCGCAGGACCCTTGGGCCAGATCTGGGGGGCCGCCCGATGCGGTCTCCCCTATACAGGCTATGACCCTAAGGGGCTATGCGGGGGAACCCGCCGAGCCCGACTTCGACTCCAGCACCGATACCGATGCGTCTTCGGATGATGAAGCGACCGTTTTGGACTACTCGGATATGCCAACATACCTTACCGGAGAACAGCAAGCTCAGTGGTTATTTTTGGGCGATCAAAAAAACACTAACGCCTTGGGTGGAGGTTCGTGAAGAAACCAGTCAGAAGGGTAAGGCGCATGGTACGGCAGACACTTAAAGGAAAAAGGCAAAGGTCGAAGTAAAGGCAAGGGTAAGCGTCGGCGACTACATGGGCGTTTCCAGCGTCTCTCGCTGGGCCCCAGTATGAAGGAATGTTTGTAGGCGCTGGCAGAAACGGCAGGCACGCATCATGTATAGGTAAAGGACGACGAGGCAACCTAAATGATGCCAACGGTAAAACCATGGAGTGCGACATATGTCACAGCATACAACATTTCCGACGCGAATGCCCCCAAGGTGATGGAAGAGGCAGGGGTCCGTCAATACATCTGGCTCGAACGGACTCGGACATACAGCATGTTGACTGGGAGTCGCTTCTGGCCGACCCTGCCGACGGCTCAGCCACAGTTATTCATTGCGTGGCTGCCAGGTATCTAAGTGCCAGCATGACCCTCGAGAATCACGCCGACGAGCTATTCGAGGAGGTGTTCACTGGCCACGACGGCATCGACTTGGCAGAGTGGCTGGGTACACCCATCGCGGGGCAACCTGCAGATATTGAGTTTGTCGAGAACTTCCAGATGCCCGTCGAAGGTGATTTTGGCATGGCGGGGGCACCCGCGGACCCATATTCTACAATTTCTGCAAGAGGTTGAAGAAGTACATGTAATGCTTTACATCCGGGCGATTGGAAGCCCGACAAACGCGGAATCGATCGATGGTGATCCATTGCGGGGAAACCCGCGCGACGCTAGTGACCTATCTGAACGTATTCAATATGGGCTTGGGCATAATGGAGAGTGCCAGTATACTTCTGTTGCGTCAGATCGGCCCGCTGGCAGTCCGAGGCGAGCGCCAGGCCGCCTACCCTTGGCATGGAAGAAGAGCTACCATGACGACCCAAGCCTTTCGCCAATGGACGACGGGGACGAACAGGGGGATGATGACCGCATGGCACGTCGCGGTCGAGCTCCCAGTCCCTCACCGGATCGGGCGCGAGCCCGCTCCAGCGGTGCTCGTTCGAGCGGCGTTCAGCGCCCTCGTCCTCCTGAGGCGGGGGCTTCAAGTGGCCCGCCAGGGCAGGCGCCGAGGGCGCGCATTCCCCCGAGGAGGGAACGTCTGCGGGGAAACCCGCCTCAAGATGATCAACATCGAGGAGAAGGAGATTCAGATGGCGAGGTGCAGCGCTTAAAAGGCTGGAATACACTTGGGTTACCTGCAGATCACATTGAATACTAGTTGAACAGAGGCTGGAGCGAACATCAAATCCGACGCTGGCATTCTCTTCGTCAGGCCAAACGTAATGATGATGGCACTATCATTCGCTCATAGAAGGGACAGACGAAGTCGCTGGAAAAACTGGTCGCGCGCGATCTCAAAAGGGCCACCATCGAGGATCGAAAGCGCTACAGAGGCGTTTGCTGCACGTGCCCCAGCTATGCCGATCGCAGGCTCGGCTGTCCCATGAGACGCCCATCAAGAAGCCCGAATTTCAAGAGAACACCATGGGTTTGGTCTCATGGAGATGGTCGGGGTCACTGTGCTGGCCCCAGTAAAACGCCATGCGACGAGCAGCTAACGGAGAAGGAATACGCCCCTGCGACTAGTGCAGAGATGGAACAAACAGAGGCTATGTGGCATAACTTGATGCCTACTCACTATCTGGCGCAGTCCAATCGCGATTGGCACGCAGGGAAACCCGCCGATCATACTTCAGAAGAAGAAAGCCAACAAGAAGCTGATGAAGGTGCAGATGCTGAAATGGCTGAAGGAGTTGGTCCTGCGGACGCCGCCCCTGGCGACGGTGAGTCAAGTGATTCGGGCATTGAGTACGTTGCGTGTGGTACTGATACCACGATTACGACCCATCCCGCACCCCAGGCCCCCCCCTTTTCCTGGGCCCCCGCCTCCTCCTGCCAACGGCCGCAACTCCGCGAGAGCACTGGCAATATTTTCGACCAAGAACCCCATCAAGTTTCTTCCTGTACCCCCTCCCCCGCGAGATCGAAGGCGCCCCGGAATTCGTTGTCTTAGTGCTCGGCTTAGCTGCCCGGACATCCGCGGCAGGTTCAAATGTCGGCGCCCGCCGTGGATTGTTGCGCCCTCCCCGCGAGGCAGGCAGCATTGAAGCGTGACCTTGTTTTTTTGGGGGGGCCCTGTGTAGTATGTCGACTGTATTTCGACTTGCTGGTTTCATGGCAACGCGCAAAAGTTGCCGCCATTTCTGAAGCCAGGTCGGGCGCAGGCTCCATCGCATATACCCCGATTGTCTGTTTGCAGCAGAGGTCAGTGAAGGCGCGCATGGCGTAGCACAGGCTGCGACGGTGAGCTTGGGCGCTCCCCAAAAGGCATTGCTCGAGGTGTTTGACGAGCTGGATAAGGACGACAGCTGCATGATGACCAAGCAGGAGTCGAGCGACATTCAAACCCACATGGCTTGCAGGACACGCATGTGGACAAGGGAATGAATCACGAAGGGATCTGTTGCACGGCATCATGCTTGTAATGATGAGTTCCGAAAGTAGCCGCAAGCGAGTGGAGGGGCATGCCCTCGAGTGGCTGTGCTGTGGATGATGCGTCTTGTTGTTCCTTCCCTTTTTCATTTGGAACCATGAGCGCCTGCGCCGATGAGTTTTCTTGA